GGTTGACCATACAGAGCATTTCAGAACTTTCATTCAGGCATTTATTGAGATGTTTCTATTTTTTCAGGATTGGGCTCATTTTATTGAAACTAGCCTTAGCCATTGCAAATTCTTCTTTTCATTTCTGTGGAACATCTGGCATTAGATATTATATAGAGATATATTTAATCTGTTGGACTTGTCTGATCTTTTCGCCTTTGCTTATGAGATTACAATTTATTACAAATGTTTCATACAGCCAATTCAAATTTCACACGGCGTTAGGGGGTCTGGCATTTTGCATGCGCTGGAACGGGGTTGTCCTGTGAAACGTGAAATCGGATCCATCGTGACTTAGCCGCAACAATAGCGTTGCAAACTAGCTATGCGTATAGAATTGGAGGGTGCCACTGGAATGTCCTACTTTACCCTGATTCCACTGTTGATGACTTGTTTACTTTTTCCTGGGAACAACATCATAGCACTCCGGGCATTGCCACACGTGCTCCGCTCCCCTCTCCAATATCCACCTCGAGTCAGAGTCCGCCTGCTGATAGTCCCAGTGTTCATTTTTGTTGATGACTACGTTCCCTTTTCCAAGAACTGCCTACATGACTGATAAGTTTCTAACTTCAATCATAAAAATACAACCAAAGCTCTCAACATAATTTTTCGAGCAGGATATTGCGCTCAAGGAGATTAAAAACTTAGTTCTAAGCTCCTTGATTACACATTAACTCTTTGTATCCGGCGTGCTAGTTTAGCTGGCTTGGTTGTTAACAGTCATAACAAAAATCTCTCATAGTCATAGGGCTGTCCCTGTGGCTTATGCACCCCGCATAATTTAGCAAAATTTGGTAATTTTTTGGGCATAATTTCTGATTATTTTCCTTTATCATTCTTTGTTAATTAACAGAATCACATAATTTCACATCTTTGGGCTCAGTTTGCATAATTTCAGAATTTTTCTTGCATAAAACGACGGGGACAGATAGGGGGCTTTCGAGGCCTAGACGTTAAGGTGTTCGCCTCTCAACTCTCATTCAAAGGTCCCGGGTTTGAATCCAGGTTGCCACCCACAAAAAAATTCTCCTCTAATAATTGTCTCCTTTCTTTCACCTCCTTTCTTGCTCTCTAGAAATGTTCTGTTGTCTGCTTTCGTCTCCATTTTCTACCCCACCCCCTCACTTCCTTTGCCCCTTCCTCTGGGCTCCTGACTCTTTCTGCAGCCTTTTTACTGCTGTCTTTCACTGAAAGTTTCAGCCACACCCCTGGTCTTCTGGTAGGACAGATCTACACCTAGCCTTCTCGGACAAGGGCGAAAAATCTCGGAGGTCCCGTGTGCAAGTTGCGCACGTTAAAGATCCCTTGGTGGTCTAAAATCGGTTCGAGTAGGCTTCGGCCGCCACCCGGGCAAAATCCAAAATATCCTACCAACTGAAAATGTTTAATGTGTCCCGCGCGCTCATATGACCTTATTCAGTTGCGAGCGCCGTAAAACACTTACCAAAAAAACAAATAGTTTAAATTTACCATTAATTTAAAAAATCTTATCTTATCTATAATCAAACTGCTTGTTAACTGCTAGTGCTATGCTTAGATCGTTAATTTCTTCTCAGTTTGGTGGAGTTAAAAAAAATGCAAATAGGTTAATAAATAGGAGCGAGGTTACAAGAAAGTTTGTGATACTGAAAACTTACTTGAATCTCAAAATTTGTTGCGCACACCGTAAACTAAGAGTTGAACTGTACCCAAATCATGCCACGTGAAGATTTTGTGTGTCCGATTCAGTGACATAATTATTGCAGCTGTAACATTCGACGGGGATTTTTTGTTGTTGTTTTTTGCGGGGGGTGGGGGTGGGGG